AATTATATTAAATAGGTATATTAATTGTAAGATACATCTTAATTTCAGAAACACAAAAACAGGTAATTTCAAGGTGAGGAAATATGTTATTCATGCCTCTGTTAAATAGAATACATTGGAAATGTTTATAAAATGTCACTATGTAGTCTGATAAGCAGGCCACTCAAAAAATAGTTGCCTGTTTTACCTAGGAGCTGATAAGGAACTCTGCCTTACTCCCTTCTCTCCATGGATAGTAAGACTCTAGTTTTAATTTGTAATTGAAATAGAAATATAACTGCTGGATTATTATCCTATTTTTTGTCTCCTTAAAAGCATCTCAATTTGTAGTGTGGAGATGAGAACTCTCAATTTCTCTAATTTGTTTCCAGGGATAAGAAATGATGCCAACCAAGTATGTGATTCAGGCTCGTGTTTATATTCATCAAGCTTTTGCTTGTGGCATCACATATAACTCAGTGACTTGCGGAGAGAGACATTTCACATAAACTGGAAGGAGAATGAACTTTGACTGTAGGCTGAATGGAAGTAGCTTCAAGGTTTGAATTTAAAACTGTAGTAGTTAGTGTTTTGGTATGAATATTTGAAAATCTGTCCTTAGCAGTTTTGTCCACATGAGACATTTCTACAGTGGTCTGTAGATAAGGTTGCCCATTGGATCATGGCTTAAATTTTTACTTTATTGTTACAGTATGCAAACAATAAAGTGTATTGTATATTTGTAGCTTGTTGAGTTTTCCAGAACTTAATACATGTATTTAGCCAGCATCCATATCATGAAGCAGAATATTACTAGCACCCTGAAACCTCACTTTTGCAACCTTCTGGTAGTAACTCTTACAAGGATCACTACTCTCTTGACTTTTAATAGAAACATAGATTGTTTTTGTCAAGATTTATACTTTCTGTAACTGGAAATACACAGTGTGTAGTTATGGGTCAAACTTCATTTATAAATGGTGTGGTGGAGAGTCACCCGTATTGTTGTATGTGGTTCTAGAGGCTCATTCTCATAATTCCAGTGTGTGAATATATTATAATTTATTTAAATATTCTACCGTTCCTTAATGGATCTTTGAAGTAGTTTCCAGTTTGGGCTTTTATGAACTGTGCCACCATGAACATTCTAGTACATGTTTTTGTGAACCTAGATACTTCTTGGTGAACATAGGCATGCTTTTCTGTTGAGTATATATTGAAAAGTAGAATTGATGGTTGCTAATAACTTTTTTTAAACCCTAAATTGATTTTGAGCACCTTTCATTAAAAAAAAAGAAAGAAAAGGAAAGGAAAGGTTCTTTTATTACTTATCTAGTTTTTTTAAACAAATAATGCCAGTTTGCTAACATCGGTATTTGGCACACAGGTTCTCGTCATCTTTCTTGTCTTGCTTGGTGACTTATGTAGACTTTTCTTAATCTCAAACCGAATGATCCTTTTTAAAGTTCAGAAAAATATTTGCTTTTCATACTTAAAAAAACCCCACTCTGGGCTCTGGATGGCATTTGTAATTATCTTAGATTATTTGGGAGATTTTAATACAGGCATGGCTCAAATTATAATTTTAAAGTAATACAAAAACAATATTAAGTCTAAGTCTTTTAGATCAATGAAAGCCAAGTATAACTCAAGGGTAAGCTTAATGAACAGGGAAGAGAAATGAGGTATTTTGACAGACACTGATTTCTAAAGAACAGGTGCACACTGGCTAAAAATAGTGTTGTGATATCAGCCTTAGAGAAAATGTAGTCAGAAAAAAACCTTGAGATTTTTTTTTCTTAAAATTGGGCCTTGAGTAACTTACAGGGATATGGGGGTAGCTTAAATGTGATTTGTAAAACCCAGGTCGGTGGGTGTCTCCTAAAACATTGTGATAGTAACACCCGCATACTTTTTTTTTTCCTTGTAAACAAAGCACCATTTTAATCTGCTTTCTTAATTCAGGCTTTTACAAACCCTGTAAGATAGGAAGGCAGAAGTCATAGGACAAATGTCACTGAGTAGATGATGAAAGCCAGTTCACAGATCCAGTCTCTCATAGCCTCATAGGCCAGAACTTGCTTCTGGTCTTTACTCTTTGTGTTTTTCATAAACAGGGAGAATGAATTTATAGGTTTACTCTTAGTTCATTCCAGGGTTATCCCAGTATAATGGTACTGAACATTTTTACTAATTATAATTATACCTCATTATACTGTGTTATTTGTGAGAAATGTTGCAAAAAATAGGGGTTTAGTATCACAGATTTTGGAGTCAGACTGGGACAGAATACTAGTTCTACCCAAAAGCATTAAAGTAGGGCAAGTAGTAATATATGCTTCTCCTTTTACAGATGGAAATTGAGTCTGAAAAATGGTAGCTTGTCAGCAAAAAACTTAAATTCTGGTCTTATTTGCAGTGCTCTTTTCATTAGACTATACTGTTTATATGATAAAGTCATGATCAAGTCTAAGTGAATTTTAACCTATTTTGTTTTACTGGTTCAATATGGGAAAGTTTTTGGAAAGTCCCTTTTGGGTATGTGCAGTGCGTTTTCCCCCATGGGAAATTTAGCTCTGAGGATTACCTTCCTACACTTGGAAAATGTAACTTCCCAGCTCTGTGTCTGGCCATGCCCCGTGACTGATAGCCTCCTTTCCAGACACACCTGAATTGTTAGTGGTGTCTTTCATTCATTGTGGTTTTGCAATTTTTTGGGATTTTATAACAACACCAAATTTCCCCTCCCTCGTGTCAGGTCTTGCTTCTTTTGACATGGTAGAGTGAAAGCCAATATCATGCTGACATTAAAAAATCTAGGAAGGCCATCTATTTCACCGTTATTTAATATTGTCCTGGAGTTACTAGCCAGTGAATTTAACAGGAATGAAAAAAGAAACAAAATTTTATGTATGGATAGGGTTGTATCCTTGGAAAACCTGGCTTAAGTGGTTGAGTATAAAAGGAGATGGAGATAGCTCTATAGAAAACTAAAAATTGTGAAAGAATTCTTGGCTGGGAATTTTAAATTTTTTTTTCAGTTGTTGATAGACCTTTAATTAATTAATTAATTAATTAATTTATATGCGGTGCTGAGAATCAAGCCCAGTGCCTCTCACACATGCCAGGCAAGTGTGCTACCCCTGAGCCCCAGCCTCAGCCTCATTTATTTGTTTTTGGTTGATATTTTCTACATATATATAAAGGTGAAATTGCTGTTGGTACATTTGTATCTGCAGATAACATGATTTTGTTTAATTCATTCTATATTTCTTTCCCTTTCTCATACTTCCTCCTTTTACTCCACTGATCTTTCCTAAATATTTATGTTATCCGCACGCCTGTAATCCTAGTGCTTCAGGAGGCTGAGGTTGAAAGCTTACGGAGTTCAAAGCCATCCTCAGCAATAGCAAGGTGCTGAGTAACTTCCTGAGACCCTGTCTCTAAATAAAATTACAAAAAAGGCTGGGAATGTGGCTCCCTGGTAAATGGCCCCAGAGCTCCAGTCTCCAGGGGCATACCCCCAGGGATCCACCTCCTTCAGCCTCACCCTAGGGCCTATAGTTATCACCCAGTTAAACCTATCAGGGAATTAATGCACTGGTTAGATTTAAACTTTCTTGCATTGTCTCTCACACATGAGCTTCTGGGGGATACCTTAAGTCTAAACTATAATACAGGGTCTCATTAAGTTGCCAAGGCTGGTCTGGATTTGTAATCCTCCCACTTTAGCCTCCTGAGTTCCTAGGGTTGCAAGCATGCACTACCATGCCCAGTCTAAAATTTTTAAGTCATGAAAGGTGCTTAATTTTTCTCATAAAGCAAAAATTAATTTTCAGATTTGTGAATATAAATTACTAAATGGTGAGTATGTGGGAGAAGACAGGCACTCATCTGCATTTTAGAAGGAAGTATAAATTGATCAAACACTTCTGTAGGCATTTGGCAATATCTACCAAAATAAATGCATATGTCTGATCTAGCAGATTGATTCATAGGAATTTATCCTGTATGTATGTGTATAAAAAGGATAGACAAGAATATTCATTGTGGCAATTTAACAGTTTAAATGAAGTTTGGATGTACACATAAGAGAAATACTGTGAAGCCAACAGAAATATTTTTTCAAGGGAGTAAAACAAGGTGTAAAACAGCGCAGTATCAAGTAGGATGAAGGATGAATAATAGTAACACAAAAGACTGATCAGTTGTTTGAAAAAATGGCAGACCGTATGTATGGGACACCCAGACATAATATAGATTCTTGTATTTTTTGTTTTGGGGAGTATTGTTTTTGTCACATTGCATGTTTAGCACGTCAGTTTGAAATTAAGAAATTCCTGGGGATGTGGCTCAAGCGGTAGCGCACTCGCCTGGCATGCGTGCGGCCCGGGTTCGATCCTCAGCACCACATACCAACAAAGATGTTGTGTCCGCCGAGAACTAAAATATAAATATTAAATTCTCTCTTTCTCTCTCAAAAAAAAAAAAAGAAAGAAAGAAAGAAATTCCTGTTTTGCGCGTACCTTTTGAATATCATCTTTTTAGGACAGTTTGTCATCCCAGTATATTCTTTTTGTAAATAGAGGTACTGTTAGAAATGAAGTCTTTGTAACCCACTTGGCCTCTGTTGACTGGAGATTGAAAGTAGGGGCCGTTCTACCACTACCACTGAACTACATCCCTAGCCCCTTTTATTTTTTATTTCGAGACAGGCTTTCCCCATGTTGTTGAGGCTGGCCTCAAACTTGTGAATTTTCATTTCTTCTGCCTTAGCCTCCTGAATGTTGGGATTATTACAGGTGTGTGCCACTACACCTTGCAGTAATTCATTTTGACTTAGGCTGCCTTATATGCCTGATTTCAGTAAAGACTAACCATATACTTCTATAGTATTTGTGTTTTTTTTCCCCCAACTTGTTTAGAAATAGTATGCTTATTTTATGATGTCATTCAATTAAAATTAAAAAATTAACCCAGCTTAGAGAAACTAACAGCTGTGTTTATTTTGATCTGGACAGATTTGGAGGCCAATCACTGCCACCTTTTATTTTCCTGTGGGTCCAGGAACTGGATTTCTTTATTTGGTCAATTTGTATTTCTTATATCAGTATTCTACACGACTTGAAACAGGTATGTTATCCATAGTTGTTTTATGTATTGTTTCTTTCTTAATTACTAACCCTATATTTACTTGGAAGAATTTTGAGGGCAGTTAGCATTATATAAAGAGATGGCATGGTGATAGTACATGCTCTATTATGTAAAAATTCAAGCATGTACAAAAGTAGAGTCAAAAAATCACTGAACTTTTTCATTGAGATCAAATTCACATAACATAAAATTCATTTTACTGTTTTAGAGTGTCCAGTTTAGTGATCTTGAATATATTCACAATGTTATTTAACTGTCATCACAGTTTACTTTCAGAATATTTTCATCACCCTCCCTGCTCAAAACCCAAAGCAGTTGCTCTTTATTCCCTGCTTCCTCCCAGTCTCTAACCACTGCTGATCTTTCCGTGGCTTTTGCCTATTTGGAACGTTTCATATGGCCTTTTGTGACTGGCTTCTTTCACTTAGCATGTTTTTTAGGATTCATCCATGTTGTAGTGTGTCATTATGAGTCCATTTGACCATCACTCACCTCTAACAAGTTTCTCATAAGCAAATATTATTTTATCTATATCAGTGGCTACTCCCCCTTTGGAACAAAACACCAGAAATGAATGATATCATTTGCTTTGTACATATTTCAGTGTTTACCTCTGAAATGTAAGGACTTAAAGAATAATCTTTGGGGCTGGGGTTGTAGCTCAGTGGTAGAATGCTTGCCTAGCACTTGTGAAACACTTGGTTTGTTATCCATAGCACCACATAAAAATAAATAGATAAAATAAAGGTATTGTGTCTAAAAAGAAAGAAAGAAAAAGAATATCCTAATGTTGTTTTTATTTTTTTGGCACCAGGGATTGGACCCAGGGGCATTGAGCCACTGAGCCACATCCCCAGCCTTTTTGATTTTTTATTTTGAGGTAGGGTCTCACTAAGTTGACAAGGCTGGCTTTGGACTTGCCATCTTCCTGCTTCAGCCTCTTGAGATTATAGGTGGGATTATAGGTGTTCCATACCTGGCAAGTACATGCCTTTCAAATACACCTAATTTTTAATATTATTCTACCTGAATAACATTTAAGAAATCTGTGGATTAGTAGGCCTAGTTTCTTAGAAATTGCCTCCTCTTTCCCAGTCATAGAACACTTTGAAATGTTCAGGCTGAGAGTTTTTTTTTTTTTTTTTTTTTAATTAACAGCTTTATTGAGATACACACTTGCTTGTCTCTCTGTTCTACATCTACATTGGAAATTTTTTGAAAAAAAAAATGAGTCTGTATAGAATTTTCTTTGTCATTATTTCCTAAACAATGCAGTATAATAACTATTTGTATAATGTTTGCATTGTATTGGATACTGCAACTAATGTGGAAATGATTTAAAGTACATGTGTTTAGGCTATATGCAAATAGTATATACCATTTTTTTATATAAGGAATTTGAACATTTGCAGATTTTGGTATCTGAGGGGAGTCTTTGAACCAATCCCCCATGTATACCTAGGGATGAATATAATTCACTTATCACACAATTCATTTAGTAAAGTATACAACTCAGTGGATTTTAGTATTGTCATGGTTGTATAAACATTATCATAATCATCTTTTTAGTGGTACTGGGGATTGAACTCTGGGCTTTGTGCATGCTAGGCAAGCACTCAAATCATTGAATTACACTCCCAGCTCTTTTAAAATTTTGAGATGGGATCTTGCTGAGTTGCTCCAGGCTCGCCTTAAATTTGCCGTCTTCCTGCCTCAGCCTCCCAGGTAGCTTTGAGGTAGGTGCCACCGTGCCCAGCTCATAATCAACTTTACAATAGTCTTACAAATGGGATCATTATGTGGCCTTTTGTGACTGGCTTCTTTCACTTAGTATAATATTTTTAAGTTTCTTCCATGTAATATATATTAGGAGTTCACTTCATTTTGTTTATCTGTTCAGCAGTTAATAGACATTTGGCTTAGATTAATATTTTGGATATTAAGAATAACGCTGCTGTGAACAGTAGTATAGCAATGAATTTTTGAGATCATCTGTTTAACCTTCTTATTTCATGCACAAGAAAACTGCTTGGAGCAGTTGTGACATGACTTAGAAGTCACGGAGTTATTTGTGATAGGATAACTAGGAATGGAACCCAAGTTTACTTACTCTCCATTTTCTCTTTGCCATACAGCCTCATGTTAATATTTTGACAAAATGTTTGCCACTCATATTTTTCTGCCTGGCTAAATTGGTTAAGTATATAGCAATGTTGGCTTATTTATGAGGTTTCTGATTTGAACTACAAGCCTGCAATTTGAGACCAGTTAATTGTAAATTCCCTCTTGTAAATATGCCAAATAACATAGTACTATAGTTGGTGTGATTACATTATCTTAACTATTCAATCTAAAGAATCCTTAGAAATCACAAAGTGAAACTATATCAAAGAAGCACAGCTATAATTAAAATTCAGAAATTTCAGTGGAATCTCATCTTTGATTCATCACAGTGACTCTCTAGCATGAAACATCATTAACACTGTGGCTGAAGAAACCTATTTTCTTTTAGATATATTATTCTGCTTTCCTAACACTTTTTAAGTTTTTTTTTCTTTTTTAATATAGCTGGTAAAATATGGAAGGGAGGAAAGGTAAGTTTTGAGCTAGAGTGACTTAGTTATTGTGTTTCTTTTCTCTGCTTCTGATTAGGAATCATCATTAGAAGAGTTGGTCTGTTAATTATGCTGCCCAGTAATAAAACATAACCTGATTAATGGTGCAGTGATAAGAACATGAACTAGTAGTTAGACTTCACTCACCTTCCAACAAGCCATGTGATTTTGGTCATGTTACTTTATTTCCTCATCTATAAGAAGAGGGTCATAGGTCTTTCCATCACACCTCACAAATGCAGTGTGAAGAGTAAGTCAAACTGTGGAAAGGCTGGCTCTCACTTTGTGTCCCTTTCTCCCTCATGTCATTTTCCCATACTGGAATATAATAAGTTCTGTGAAGACAGAGACTGAATTCTCCCAGTACCCAAACTGCTGCTGGACAAGTGGTGATATATGTGTCAAATAATAGTGGTCACAATAGTGAGCTGCCAGTGTAGTTGTGCTTAAGTGTTTCCCTCTGTTCTTAACCATGACATTTGGCTCATTTTCATTTCCAGGAGCATTTGATGGGAGGCCGGCAGACTATTTATTCATGCTTCTCTTTAACTGGATTTGCATCGTGGTATCCTTCAGTGTTATTTTAGGCCAGAAATGAAGCAGTTTTTTAAGGTTTTGAGAAATAGTATTCTATAAAATTTCAAACTATATGGTTTTTGCATCTTTGTTTACTACAGTTAATAATTAAGAAGAATAATTGAAGTTCTTCTAAAAAACTGAGGTAAATCATTTAGTCCTTAAGTGATGCATTTTCTTGACATTGCTATTGTGGGGTTTTTCCACATTTGGTTGAGTTTTATTACTGTTCCTCCTCCTTGTTCTCAGTTCTCTGTGTTCTCATGGGTGACAGCTTGTTGACTGAAGCACAAAGAGATTCCGTGCCATGAGACAGCTTTTGAAATCTGTGGTTCTTATCAGAAAATTAATTTGCAACAGCAGTGTTTTCTGACTCCATTGCTGTCCTTTTGGGGTCCTGAATAATAATTTAGTCCCTCTGTAGACTACCCATCTCTGGATACAGTCCGTCTCTGCTTTATATCAACCACAGTTGCAGTATTCTTCCAACTGTGAGGCTTTTACAGATGGTAAAAGTAGCAGAAGGGACTCCATGGCTCAAGTCCTGGGCAGAGTTGGTGGCTCACAGTTTCTGTTGGGCTCAGTCTCTGTTTAAACTTGGCCAAGAGCCAGAAAATATAGGACTTTGGATACCCTTTCCTTTAAGAGAATGAAAAAAAAAAAAAAGTTTTGGACTTCATCCATGCTTTAGAGCCATGAGTGTGAGTAGAATCATTATTTATTTCGGATGCACAGGCATCTCTATCCCCTACTTGAAGGAGAGATACTAAAACACAAAGGCAAGGCACAGAAAAGAGACACCAGATGACTAAGTCATGCTGAGGCTGTTAACTTCTATTTCTCCTTGAAGTATAGTCTTATGGAATATTCATAATGAAGATTTGAAACTTTGTGTTCTTCAGTGTTTTTTTTAACCCATTAAGTCCCAGATTTTCAATTCTATGAATATAAAAGTATTCAGACATTATTTCAGAGTTAACATAAGTGGTATATTTGTCACTCAGTTTGTTTTATAGGTGTTCCACATCTGGATTGATGGCACAAAATGGGTTAAATAGTCTGAATAACAGAAAAGCATCTTTCTTCAGAACATAGGAATGAAATGTACTTATAAATGGGGGATAATAACCAGCTCAGTCTTGATGGGTACAGAAAACTTTCTTATATCTGATCTTTAACTGTTTAAACCAAGATTACTGGCTTAGCAATGGATATGCAAGTAAGTGTCCCTTTAACTATCTATTTGCCCTTTTATCTATTTAGACTTACTACTAATAGCCTTTGACAAGTTAGAATTAATATGAACTGTGTAGTTAATTATTATTTTTGAACTTACACAACAATGATAGATGTTGTATTTTGAAGATCTTAAGTCTGCTAAACTTTGAAGCTCCTATATGAGTTACTGAAATTATTGCTTTTTTGCTCATAGTTTCTTTCATACTATGTTTGAACATTGAGAATAATGTTTATGCAGTATTTTCTAGGCATATGTGATAGTTTCTATTTTTTAAAAGATGAGATTATATGGTAATTAAGCTTTTTTTCAAATAACACCTTGACTCTGATATTTAAATATATAATTGTGTTGTATTTTACTATATGTCTAAAATATAATTATGTTGTATTTTACTATAGAGTTTTGTAGCATTTTTTGTATGATAAATAATAGGATCGTTTTGGAATTCTAATCAGTTGAATTTTCTTTTGTTTTTTTGAATACCTGTGAGAAGTTTTTTGGAGGGGAGGAGTAAAAGGCATAGTAGATTTGTATTAACCCCCTTTAAGTGCTCTTGGAGCCTAGTTTTTAAATGTTGACTTCTTTTGCAGTTGCTGATGATTCCTCTGATCATGTCAGTACTTTATGTCTGGGCCCAGCTGAACAGAGACATGATTGTATCATTTTGGTTTGGAACACGATTTAAGGTACTTTACCTTAGTTGGAAAAACTTCCTTTTCATTTGTCTTTGCAGAAATCTCTTCAGCCAAGAGATGTACTTTCTGACTCGTCCAGAAGAGGTCACTGCAGAGCAGTATACCATAGGCAAGCCCCTTTCTCCCCTCTGTAGCCCAGCTCTCAGCAGACCCAGAGTCCCTTGTTGACTATTGTTACTTCCCCATCCCCTTTGTACTTCAGGCTGCTCAGGGGTATGTATGTCCCTGATTGATCTCGCGTGTGTGTGTGTGTGTGTGTGTGTGTGTGTGTGTGTGTGTGTGTTTGTTTTAGAAGGAAAGCTACCATGTGAAACTTGCCATTTAAGATCTGTTGGCTGGGGATGTGGCTCAAGCGGTAGGGCGCCTGGCATGCACGGGGCACTGGGTTCTATCCTCAGCACCATATAAAAATAAAATAAAGATGTTGTGTCCACTGAAAAACTAAAAAAATAAATATTAAAAAAAATTCTCTCTCCCTCAAATATCTGTTCTTATCACTGTCTCTCTGTTATGTGCTTAACACTTTAGTGAAAACAGATTTTTTTTGTTTGCCTCCAAACATTTCCCTTTGTACCTGTTCTAACAATGTTTCACCTGTAACATCTTTAAAAAAATTTTTTTTTAACATTTTTTCTTAAGTTTTAGGTAGACACACATTATTTTACATTTATGTGGTGCTGAGGCTCGAACCCAGTGCCCCGCGCAAGCTAGACAAGCACTCTACCACTGAGCCACAACTCTAGCCCCACCTGTAACATCTTTTTGATACCCTTCTTCTTGTAAATTTTACCCATCTGAGACCAAACGTATTTCTCAAGTCTCCTGCCTGTAATTAATTAGTTTTGGCCTTGGGCTTTTGTAGTGCTTTATGTTCCTGTTATAGTATTTACCTCAAAGTTGCCTTAAAGTTATTAATGTATAAGCCTTCCTTTACTAGTTTGGCATTCCTTGCAATGCCCTTAACCTTTGGTGGGAGGTCTTGAAGTTGATAGGCGACTTAGATGTTTAATTCATGTGGAGAACTGTCACTTGGGAACATTAATAGTTAAAGATATCAATGTGTAATGATGTAAAAATTCAAGGTAACTATTTGTAGTAATTCATTGGTTGGAATCTTAGTGTGTTCTGTTATAAATTGTGTTTTTAATAGCGTGCAAAGATACTTGTCTACTTTCTGAAGCTCTTCATTAATATTAATTCATCAGGACAGGAAACTGCATCTGAACTATCTGCAACACACTCTGATCTTCTAGTTACAAATAAGTCTCATTTTCAACAGGAAGTTTTAAAAGTATAGTAGGAATGATGATAGATTGATCTGAAAAATTTTGTAGTGACCTTCCAAAGGATTTATTAAAGCCCTTATGACTATATTCCTCACATTTTAGTCCCCAAAGCAGCTTGTCCTCCTCAGGTGTGGGTATTTATGTTTACATATATTTTTTTCCTAGGCCTGTTATTTACCCTGGGTTATCCTTGGATTCAACTATATCATTGGAGGCTCGTAAGTGATAATTGGATTTATTTAATTGGAAACTGATCCTTGGGAAACTTCCATTCATCTTTATCTTCTTTTTTGAATTTAATAAAATCCTAAAGAATCTTAATATTGATGTATTATAACCTTAAAGAATAGTTACATTTTGATGTAATTGGTTAAATTGTAGGGTGATTTTATTATGTTGAACATTGGGTGGTTATAATTTTGTTAGCTTATCATTAGACAGTGTCTTCTATATATTGTGTTTGAATAAATATGCATTTCCTAATTGATTATTCAGACTAAGCAAATGTAGTATTAATTTGTGTCTGAGATGACTCCTGTAAGAGCTCTCCGTAGACTTGCTGTGTCTTAAGGCATTTCTTAAATGCCTTGGAAACTGCTCACTGTCACAGAAGTGCAGATGAGAAGTAGTTTTGTAAGTGGTTTGATGGTATAGAAATTTAGGCTAAGCAAGGTCAAATATCAAGGTGCAGCTATTTTAAAATCTCCCATTTCTATTCTTTTATTTTTTTGGTATTGGAGATTGAACCCTGGGGTGCTTTACCATTGAACTATATACCCAGCCCTTTTTATATTTTTTATTTTGAGACAGGGTCTCACTAAGTTCCTTAAGGGCCTTGCTGAGTTGCTGAGGCTGCCTGAAACTTGCAGGCATTCTCAACCACCTGAGTTGCTGGGATTACAGGTGTACAACACTGGCCCAGGCAAGATCTCCCGTTGCTAACACTAAAAATATTTTCTGGAGTTTAATAGAATTTAATGGTATGAGTTCTTCATGTATCTGACACATTTGTTCTGTGTGATTCTGACTTCTGCATGTAAATTGGGAGAAGTGAATGAATTGAGCAACAGACTGTTTAGAGCTTTAACATGTTCTGAACATGATAAAGCTACTGTCCCCCACCTGGAAGGGGAGAGTTGCAGATATTGATTGCAGAGTCATGTTGCAGGTGAAGACAAAGATATGTAATAGTAACAGTGGACCCATAAAACTTTGGGGTAACCTCTTTGTAAACCCTGGGAAACCTGGAGTAGATTATTTTAGGATGAAGGGTGTAGGTCAGCTTTCCTAAGGAGTCTGTGTGGTATCTTACACTCAAGGATGCAAAGCAAGAGAGAAGCATAAGGATTCCAGGATGGGGGAGCTCGTGCTTATCAGCCATCTTTTCCTCACTCCCATTCTTCTCTCTTGGTAGACTGTATAGTTGCTTGTGTTTTACAGATATAGTATTCATGAAAGTGCTTAGAAGCTTGCTTTGCAGCTTTCCCAACTCCTGAAGCAGGAAGTAGCAAAAAAAGTATTTTGAGAAGAGGCTGAGGCTTGAAAGAGATGTCAGAGGGGCTGCTGGCCTAGAAGAGTAGCAGGCCACATTGGTTCAGCAGCCTGATTTTCCCTCTCCCTCAGAATGCATTTGTCACTCAAGACTATAAAAGGACCTATTGTAGAGCTGTCACAGACTCCTGGGGACTGTAAATGGGCTGAGTGAAGGTGTTCTTCCTCTTGCTATTAGTTAAAACTGGGCACATTTCCCCTTATTGCTCGAATGTCTTTAATTTGACTCTCTGTTTGCAGGGTAATCAATGAGCTAATTGGAAATCTTGTTGGACATCTTTATTTCTTCCTGATGTTCAGATACCCAATGGACTTGGGAGGAAGAAATTTTCTATCCACACCTCAGTTTTTGTAAGTGTTTTCTCTTTCCCCATGCTTCCCATACAACAGTCGTACTACCTTTGTTCTCCCACGCCCTAATAAAAGCTCTGTGGAGAGTTAGGTTTACCTCCTTGTCTAGTGGAGCAATGTCAGCCAATAAATGACTTACCCTGTCACAGTCACAGGAAGCCAGGCATTGGAGCCACGGCCCATTTTCCTTCATGTCACCCCTGAAGGGATGTCTAGGTTGAGACATGAGATGATGACTAGGTTGAGACATCACAGAAAGGGAATCAGCTCTGCTGAGAAGGCTGAGATACCTGACGCAGCTCCTGGGAGTGAAACAGTGGGTGAGGGTGGGCAGAGGAACGGGATGACAGTGGATGTTTCCTTGGAGAATCAGTTTCATTCATGATTTCCACTGAGGAAGGGGTAAGTTAGTTCTGGTTAGCAATTTTAAACTTTTGTATATTTTACATTACAGAAAGAAAAAGTAGCACTATTGGAAGTTAAAATGAGAGACGTGAAGTCTGTGTAGTCGCAATCCCTATGTTCCTTCTTTGTCTTAGGGTTGGTTAAAAGTGAGGCAGCCAGGGGCAACAGCTCTTTGGGTTTGAATGTCATTCACCTGGTATACTAGTTTTGATATTGAAAAGTTACTTAATAAAACCACCAAACTTCATTTTGTAAGTCGGTAAAGTGAGGGGCTGTCCCTTCTCTCAGGACTGGATGAGGTAAGACGCACTGCTGGGAACACAGCACAGGTACTTAGTAAATAAAAACCCTGTGCTGGGTTCCTAATGTTGGGGGTGGGGAGGGGTTTGACGAGCCCAGAAGAGACTCTGACACACTTGAGCATGTAAGTAATGTGGCCGTTCTGTCAGTGAAGTAAAAGGCTGTTGAAGCAGGGACCAGTTAAATCACCATCTGGGTGTCACAGTCTGCCTGACAATCACGCCTAATCTCATGTCAGGGATATGCAGTAATAGCTTGCATTTAAAAGCTTAAAAAAACCAGCAACAACAACTTTTTGCATCTTGCTTATTTTAGTGTTTTGCAATTCTGTCATTCTTTCAAGGGGTTTGTGGGGGCAGCAAAATGGGAGTAGGTCTCCTCTATCTCCCTTGTACAGGTTAGGAATATGTTTGTAAAAGACTTTATCGTGAACTGTAGTAAACAGAAACATGTAGTATTGTTGCTATGGGTTTTTTGGGTTGTTTTTATTGTTTTGTTTTTCCTTTAAGAGAATCAAAAGAAACTTCCTTCTCTTCTGAGCCTTGGATTGCCTTCAGGCCAAAAAACAAATGACCAATCTGCTTTCTAATTATCAAAGGATATAATAGCAGCAGGTTTGGTTTTCTGATCTAGGTTTATCAAGTAGAATGGCAGATGCATCAATTAAAAAGCTTGTACTTTGGGGGGCAGCCAGCAGTTATTTTACTTTAAATGGCCATACGCTGACGTAAAGGCTTATAGATATTTCTTAATAATGGACAACAAAAGTGTACAAGATTCTAAGGACAAAATTGGTAGCACCCTGTATCCTGTGTTCCACTTGAGCTTTCTTTCTTGGTGAAAGCCCTTCTGTTAATTTTTGCATAAAGATCAGATGACAAAATGTAGCTCCTTGCAAAAACAGTAACTGCTTTGAAATTACCATAAATTTTTGTTGATTATGTATAATTGGGTGTCTTTTTATACTAATTACTTGCATTTAATTTCACCATCCGATTAAGCAATGGAGATGGCTTCCATATTGTTTTAGAGTAAGTAGCAAAGCAGGCAGCCCTAGCATTGCCTTTTTCAGGTGTTTATTTTATTATGTATATTATTGTATCAGATACAATATTGTATCAGATGTTATAGATGTCCAGAACCCAGCACTTCAGAGTACACTTTGATTTAGTGGTAAAACTGTATTTGTTTTACAAGAGTTGAGTTGCTAAGATGATCAGTATTAGAAAAGCAGTTGTATCTTCAATATATAGTTAATTCTCTGTGTAAAAGGAGTGACTGTGTTTTTTTGTGAAGGAGCATGAAGGCAGGGTCATACAACAAATGAGGACCAGCGTCATCTACTGCTGTTAGCAGGAGTCTGCATTATAATAAGGAGTGAGTGCAGGGCACCAGCTCTGGAGTTGGGCTGCCTGGGTTTGAATCTTGACTATCATTTTCAAAGAACTTCAGTCTTGCCCCAGTTTTCTCCTTTATAAAGCAAGGCTGATAGTAATGTCCTCCACATAGGGTTGTTGTGAAGGATGGGTGGATTTATAAACATGCAGTCCTTGGTGTAGTTTGAAGGATAAGGTCACATAGTAGCTGCTGTAGTGTAAGGTTGTACTTGTCACATTTCTTTTGGAAAGTCGCCTGTCAGAGCTTGCTGTGGCTGCCAAGACGGCTTTAAGCACGGTAGCAGTTCATACTCTTTCAAATAAAATTTAAACATTAGGATCTGATAAGTAGAATAGGTTTAAACATTCTCAGTTTACTAAAAAGGTAAGAATGGGAAATAATGGGAAAATGCTATTGAGCATAGGCTTGGGTTTGTTTTCTTAGCTGTTTGGTGACTTCTGATTCGTTAATTTGTAAAGTAAGAAATCATCTAACCTTTCTGGATTTCAGCTTCCCCACTGTCTGGGAGATAGGAAGAAGGTGCTTGAGGGACAGATTATGAGTACAGCCCTAAAGCCTTCTTTGGTGGAAATGCTGTGCAGGGCTCAAATGCAGCCCGTGGATTTGTCCTTTGCAGAGAATTAATTTTGTTCTTTGATCCAGTTAGATCCATATTTAGATATACCAAGATGCTATCAGTCATTCTTTCTAGTTGTTGGGCTTGTGGGTGTAATCTTTTTGTTTCCATACTGTTCTGCATGAATACTTTTATAGTCAGTTAAAAAAGAAATGTTTAGAGTGTGAATTTAACTGAAAGCTTGATAAAGTTAAGAAACATGAAAAGCAAGTGCCATCTGTGGTCAGGGCATTGAGCTAGGTGCTGAAAAAGCAAAGTTAAATAAGGCATTGTCCCTGGCCTCCTTCACCATGACAGATGCCATGGGAACACCCAGGAGAGGGAGATGTGCCGAATGGTGGGGTATTCTGTGGAAGTGACTTTCTTCTCTCCTCTGCCTTTGTTTCCCCTGTTTCTTCAGGTACCGCTGGCTGCCCAGCAGGAGAGGCGGGGTGTCAGGATTCGGTGTGCCCCCTGCTAGCATGAGGCGAGCTGCTGATCAAAATGGCGGAGGTGGTAGACACAACTGGGGCCAGGGCTTTCGACTTGGAGACCAGTGAAGGAGTGGCATCTGGCCTGCCCACCAGCCGTTCCACTCAGGCAACGTTTCTTCCCACTGCTGGGTGCGCTTAACAACACCGAGTCTAGCTAACGCTGTTGGACCTGACCCACACTGAATGTAGTCTTTCAGTATGAGACAAATTTTTTTAAATCCTGAAGGAAAATACAAGTGTTCCTCAAGTTTCATGATTCTCATTGAAGTCCTTACTGCTATGAAGAACAAATATCAACTGTGCAGATTTCAAAATTGACTATTTTTTTGGTGTGTTTTCTTCCTTTTCTGTCTGAATAATGGGCTTTAGCGGTTCCCAGTCTGCTGGCACCGAGTTGGGCACCTGGGGTGGGGTTACCAAACCCTGTGAAAAGGATTCTTGTCTCTTTCTTGCACACACACCTCCCTTCTACTTTTCCCAATCCCCTAAAGTTTCAGCTAGTGGGGTTGCCCATAAAATGGTTCTGCCTTTGGCAGACTCTTATTTATTGACTTTGCCAAGGCTTGGTCACAAAGAACTTGTTCACAGTTATTTTCCCCTTTGGTGGCAGAACTGTGACAATAGGGAGAATACTGAAGCAGTGGATAAAAAACTTTCTTAGCTTTGGGGATTGTGCCAGCCTGACAGCCACAGTAACCATTAGCCACCTCTTCAGGTGTTCTTAATGAAACACCACGGAGTCAGGATGGGCCCATATTGCTATTAATGAGGATTGAGGGTTATAACTAGGCAGTTTTCTAATTAAGTGATCAAAATTTTAGTGGAGTTGCTTCTGACACAGGAGTTCATTTTAAACTATGGTGAACACAATCCTTTTGTGTTTCCTCTGCAGGGCATATTGGCTTTGTGTACCCAGAGTCATTGGGTTGTTATATAGGGAGGTTTCAAATCACATTGGCCACAGGGAGATGCTCCCTTTGAGAGGCTCCTGGGCATTGATTCCATTTCATTCTTATTCTGGATGTATGTTCATTGAAGTGCCCTATTAAAATTGTCTTTCTTTTTTTTTTTGCCCTTTGCCCTTTCTTCATCAAGTGTTTCAGTTAATTGTGAGAAAAGTGCAGCTCTTCTGTATGTAAATCGTTTTTTAAAGCTAATATATAAGCACATCTAAGTGAATCACTCATAATTTGAGGTGTAATGGCTTTAGAGTCATTTGCATTTGAAGGTCTTTATTATTTTTTGAGTCTGGAATATACAGACAGTGTGAATCAGACCAGCTTGAATACCCACGACAACTCCTTCATAGGTGAGCTTTTACCATCAGAGCTCGGCTCATCAACAAATAAAAGTTTTTGTAGGCTGCAGTGTTTCATAGTTTGTTTTTATTCTGAAAGCATACAGCTAGGAGCATGGTGAGTGGCTGCCATACTTTGAGTCAGCTAAAAAGATTTTGGACATTTTGATCAGCTTCTTTTCAGGAAAAGTACCCTAACAGTATGGCTCCTTCCCCCATCCCCATTCTTATTAAACTGTGATGTGTGTTATAATAGGAAATAGGAGTTTGCAAAGAGCTCCTCATTTTTAATAAAGTTTGTGTGTACCTTTCCATATTTAATTTATATGATAAAATAGTAGGTGGAGAGAGTCTGCACCTAAACTGTCAAATGTCCTGCTGTTGACCTGTGGCCACAATAAAATTTACTTGTAAAGTTTTAGAAGCCATCACTCCTATTATATCGCTTGGGCACTCACTGCAGGAGTGGAAACTTGTGTGTGTACGATTCTAATGGTAAGTGAACCAGGGGTTCAGTGCCCCCATATCAACCTATTTGCTTGAGAGCAGTAGTTTTTCTAAAGGTCTATAAGTTTTTGGAATTCTTCAGTTGAAGGCAAAATGTACTTTGAATGAAATTTTATCTCAAACATAGGAAGCTGATAATTTGATTGCCTTTGATGGGATTACCTATCTTTCTGGGATAATTTTACCAAAATAAATTAGTTTTGACTTGGCAAGGTAAGACATGACAGTAGATTCTCTTTATGAATGGAAAACAAAAATCCTTATTTTGTATAGATGGTATCCCTTTTTGTATCTAATCCTTTTTATTGGTATAAATTGTAAATTAAAATGTACAATTTGAAGGTTGTCTGTGTTAAGTTTCCATATCCCTTTTGTGCTCTTTTAGACATAGTTTATGTCATCAATTTTCTATTGATGAGCATTTAGTTAATATCCAGTTTTTTGTATCAGGGAGACACAGCAGACCCTTTTGTACATGATTTTGTTCGCATGTTGGAGATGCACAATTCCCAGGTTTTCATGAAGCGGATGCTTCTGAATTTTGGGTTAGGTGTCATACCTGATTGTTAAAGTATTTTAGTAGATTTTACACATGGATCTGAGTCCTGAAGTCTATAGAATTGGTTTAATCCCAGACTCTAGAAAGCAGATTCTATGACATTCTTGAGCCACCCCCCCCCCTTTTTTTTTTTACTTGGGGTGAACCATACAAGTCTGTATTCCTGACCTTGGAATACATTTATGTGAGGATGGGGTGACAAGAAGCACTATGCCTCCCTCTTCCATTACTTGGGAAATACCAGAACGATAGGAAGGAAAGATCCTGTTTATTTGGAAAGACACATTACATTGCCAGGATTGTGGGGTTCTGAACTGCCTTTTGAGTAACATCCATCTAGTGGTGTTGGAGTGGCCAACATCTTCACTGCCAACTATTTTTTTTTAATATTTATTTATTTTTTTAGTTTTCGGTGGACACAAATCTTTTATTTGTATGTGGTGCTGAGGATTGAACCCAGCACCTTGTGCATGCCAGGTGAGCGTGCTACCACTTGAGCCACACCCCCAGCCCTCACTGCCAACTATTTCTGAGCTCCCTTGTTACATTTTTAGTGGTAATTTAATGCTTTGAATAGCAAAAGATTAACCTTTGGGAAAAGTTACTCCTAGACTTTTAACTGGCCACATCTTTTGAAGGCTGGGCTGAGTATCTGTGAACTGGGAATTTTCTTGTTTGTTCTTCAGAGTGGCTCAGGATTGGGATGGGGTGATACCATGTCCTGGGATTCCTTATGTGTGGTTTAAGTCCAGGGTGCTTTTCCACATGTTCCCCTTAGCTCACATCAATTCTGATCTCCCGTCTATTCTGTCACCTTCATGTTCAGTACCGAGGTAAGCTCCATTGTGAATAATTTAGGCCTGTAATCTGAGGTTTCCCAGTAAGGCTATAAGTGAGAATCATGTGGGACTATGGAAATATTTTGTATCATTTCTGTTCTACATGTTCTTGAGCTTCTCTGTGATTCTGATATTCAGCCAGGTTTGGGAACCAGTGTTTAAATAAGAATGTGAAATAAGTATTAGGTTTCCATTTTCCAGATAAGGAAATGTAAGATTCAAGAGAGAGAAAGTCACTTGATTAGGATTGAGTAGCTAGAAGGTGCCAAAGACAAGATAGGAGTTGGACCCTAAATTTAGACACTTGCTCTGCTTTTCAGTTGAGGTCAAAGGAGATTGTTTTAGGACATGTTCTGTCTTTGGGGAGTGTATGTTCTACTGGCAGATGGCTCGGCCCATAGTGGCTACTTACTTGTTCAGTAAGTGAACATGATTATTATACGATTTGACACGCTGCCAGAGTAGAAATAAGTTAAAACTCGAACAGAGGGGGCTAGATTTTGAAAGATACATGATCATTTCCAGGCCGAGTCAAGGGCAGCTATTGTTTCTAGGTAGAGGAAAGAAGAAACCCGGTAAGGACAAGAAGTTTTGGGAAGAGGGAACTGGCTGGGTATAGAATACAGCTAGGGAGTGGCAGGGAAAGGCTGGACAGGTAGATTGGGGCTTAATCTCAACAAGCCTTTTATGACATCACTTGTACTTCATTTTGTGGGCAATGGAGGGACTATTGGAAAGTAACTGGCTGTAGCAGAGGAAATTGGGGGAGAAGGCTGGGCAAGGAGAAACTGCAGCAAAAGCTAGCAGTTTAGGGTCTGCTGCTGTGGTGCAGGTTTAAGATAAGGTCACCTGAGGCAGGGATACTACGGCTGGGTTAGAGATAGGGATCTCAGAATCACTGGGACTGAATGAGGAAGAGGAGCCAGGGCTTAGACCAAGGGGTTTCCTTTGGATATTAGGGCTTGTAATACTTCATCCCTAGAAACAATTTATCCGCATTGTTGGTGCAACACAGACAATTAGATGCTTGAACCAGCCTGAAAATCTAACTACTATTTGTAAATCACATCTCCAGACCTTTTTATTTTTTGAGACAGGGTCTCTCTAAATTGCTTAGGGCCTTGCTAACTTGCTGAGGCTGGCTTTGAACTTATGAGCCTCCTGCCTCAGCCTCCCAGGTAACTGGGATTACAGATCCGCACCCAGCTTGTAAGCATATTTCTGTGGAAAAATACATTATGGACTCCAAAATCACCAACCTGAAAATGAACTTTCAGAACATGATCTCTTTCTAAAATGGGGACAGCTCTGCAGAAGGCCTCAATGAAGAAGCAAAGCTCTTGATTCCAAACCATCCCTCAGGGGCAGCTTAATGTTTCACCAAAATTAAGGGCCCAATCTATACCTGTAGGCAAGGTTAAATGTCACCTCTGGTGGCCCACTGGTGCCTCATCTCTGCTTAGTGACACTCATAATTTGCTTAGTCTCCTGTGGTCTGTAGGCATCAGTCAGGATAGACTACGTATTCACAGCTGTATCAAGGCTTAGCACAAGTCACATGCAGGTACTTAAGTCTGTTTTGCAGTGAACTGAGATTTGGACTGGATCACAAGTTGGATAGGGATTTGGACTGTTCAGGGAGATGGACTAGTCTCTCAGGAACATTAGGGTTTTGTCACTTGTGTAAGGTAATGTTAGTCTCCTGAAACAGGATATTAGAAGAGGTTGGAGATAATGGAAAAATGGATTCAAAATGCTTAAAAAAGAAAAAGCATCCATGTACACTGTACAATTATCTGCTACTAGGTATGAGTACATGGGGTTTTGGGACAGAAGGGGGCTGGTATAGATTGAAGGCAACAAGAACATTTGGGAAGATTAATTGAAGGTATAAATTTAGCTGTCTGTCCCCTGAGGAATTCCCCATGGCCTGTATAAATGTACATGTATTAAATTCATCATCATGTATGTCTACAAGATACTAATTAAAAAAACAAAACAAATAACTTTAAGTAAATAGCAGATCAGTAGAGTGGAGGGAAAGGAACCGAAAGAGGAAAGGAGGGTACTGGGGACTGAATTAGAAAAAATTCCATGATTTTTAAAAAAATATTTCCTTTAGTTGTCAATGGACTTTGTTTATATGTGGTACTGAGCATCAAACCCAATGTCACACATACTAGGCAAGGGCTCTACCCCTGAGCTACAACCCCAGCCCTTTTTAAATTATGTCAGAGTGAATCCTAATGTTATGTATAACTAAAAAGAATTGGTAAAAAATAATAAAAGCAACTGTAAATGATGCCACATCATGGGCTGAAAAGACCCTTGGGGAGTGCGGAACTGAGTTTGGTGAATGGCGCAAGGCTCATTTAGGAAATGTTTACCAAGCTTAATTTGTCATTTGAAGCCTTCACCTGACCCAGATGAATCTGATCTCTGTCAGTGTGTCAGCCTTTTCCTGAGGGCTGGCACTGGTACAGTGAGTGTCCTTGTTCATGAAGGACAATCGTGGTTAGCTTAAGGGAGCCTTTGGATTTTGATATCTTGATATACAAATAGTCAATGTGTCTCTAGGAGTGGAAGATCCATCAGTCTCCTAGCCGAGCCCTCTTCACCCTATCCCAGACGTTCTTCCTTAGAGGTGGCGCAGACCCCTTAATGGAGAGCGAGACTGGGGCTTTTCATGGTCACATGCATTGGGTAGTGAGTGATCTTTGCTCAGAAGAGCTCTGGTTAAATTAAGCAAAAATGGAATTTATTGGAAGGATACAGAATATAGATTAGCTCACTGGTTCCAAAGACCTACTGAGGAACCTCACATGGAAAAGGGGACCCAGAGAGCAGACTTTGATCTCATCACATCTCTAGCTGAGCTAAACTAGCTCTCCTTTTAATTCTAATACTGTTTCTTCAACTTCTGAGCCTCACTGACCCAGCTTGGACCTTGTGCTTTTCTTGTGACTAGGAATTCGGAAAAAGCACTGGACTGACGGTACCATTATGACTACCACGACTGGGGCGAGGTTACTTTCCAACAACACATCAAAGTGGTCTTGCCTTACGAAGGAAGAAGCAGATGCTGGATCCTGAAGAGCCTCACCTGGCCAGTTAGGGCATGTCAACTGCATGTTTGACCTCCTGGAGTAGTCTCTACTTTGCTAGTTTGTTCCAACCCAGGAATAAGGAAGTATTTCCTCCCATCCCCTCCCTCTAACTCTGAACACTAAGCATTAGCAAGCAATCACATTTTGCTCAGGAATTCAAGGGGAGAGGGTGGAGGGAGTTGACATTAAACATTTCAGGGTAAGTGCCTGCCTGCCCTTGAGCGCATGTACTATGTCTTGGTTTACCATTACATCCCCAAATACAGGGCATGTGGTTTGGCATGAGTGGGGTTTTTGAGATAAATATTTGTTGAAGGAACGTATACATTTCTTAACCTAAATTTCTTTTAGCTATTTTGTTAGCTTTTTGTGCTGTGACAAAACACCTGGAGAAAAGCAATTTAAAGGAGGAAAGATTTATTTGGCTCATGGTTTCAGTCTATGGACAGCCAGCTCCATTGTTTCTGGGCCTGTGGAGAGGCAGAACAACATGGCAGAAGGGTGTAGTGTAGCAAAGCTGCTTCCTATGGTGCCTGGGAAGCAGAGAGAGAAACAGTATAAGTCCTTCAAAATCATGCCTCCAGTGATGCCCCTTTTCCAGCTAGTTTCCAACTTCTAAAATTCTCACCACCTCTCAATACTCCCAATAGTGCCACCAGATGGGACCAAGCCTACAACACATGTCTTTGGGGGACATTCTAGATCCAAAGGTAACAGCTATTCCCTCTCTTGCTTTCCATCCTTCCCCTATATGACCTTTCCAGGCCCCTCTATATTTTGGTTGACTTAGCTCTGACCCCAAACTTCTGTGTTCAGCAAAACAAAAGATTTATAGA